ACCACAAAAAAGTAGAAGAAGGCAGTCCCTCATCATCATTTCTAATTATATCTTCTTCTTCTTTTTTTACCACCACTGTTTCTTGACATTAGTTTGACAGTTTTTAAAATCTATATCTTTATAGAGTAACAAACCTATTGTATGTAAAAGGAGAAGGTGATTAAAAAAAGGGTGACAATAATTAAGAAATGTTACACCTATGTTGTATTTTAGCAGTTGTTGCTATAGTGTAGCTTAATAAAGGAATGAACTGCAAAGACAGAAATAAACAAACTGATGACTTATGTCAAGAAGTTTGACTAGTATTCTAGTTTGTGCAGCAAAATGTGTTCCGTGTTATTAAAGGCTGCTGTGGTATTTACTCTATGTTGACATCTAGTGGTTTTATTAGGAAACTGTTGTTTACAGCAGTGCAGGAGCCTATGTGAGCGGTTTTAAATGTATCAGGTTGTACCGTACAGGTGATGAATGGCTCACTATTTGTCACCTCTCAGGTGAACGGCTGATTCAAATGAGAGGTGAATGAACAAATCATTTGCGGACTTCTCAAAAAGTGAGTCTCCTTGTTGATAAGCAAAGCAGCATACAGGAAAAAGAAAATGGGCCAAAGAGAAGGGCAATGGTGAAATTTAGAAAAGCAGCAGTAAAGTGAGGTGAGGACAAAGTTAGTCACCTCAAAGCTTTCAATTTCAAATCTCATTCTGTTTCTGCCTACACAGTTTACACAGGATGGTCACACTCTATCAGGGTCTAATTTAAAAATAAACACACAAAGTCCATGTTAAATGTCTTAAACCTGAATTATTTCAAATGGGCAACAGGGGGCGACTTGTGTGGTTGCGAAAAAGAAAGTGTCCAGCTATTTAAAAGTCTATTTTCAGAACATTTTTAATTTAGATGGAGAAGACATCAGTCAGCAATCCATTTTCTTCTACTTCCACATCTATGACCAATTTAGAACCACCAATTAACCTAAAGCCCTGCATGACTTTGGACTGTAGGAGGAAGTCAGAATGTTCAGAGGGAACCAGCAGAGAACGTGCAAACACCACACAGAAAGGCCCCAGGC